TGATTTTATCTTCTCATTTTTATATCGAGTTTTTTTATATAATCATTTCAGATTGAATCTGCATCCAACTTTTTTAGTTCTAATAGTATTCAACTGGAAGCATTCTTTTATCAATATTCTTAATAACTCTAGGATTTTCATACTTATGTATGAACAAAGGTATCAGCTTTTCACTTCCCATTGCATTTCATATGAGTAAGATCATTACACGATTCTTTGATTGTTTTTTCCTGATGTTTGTTCATTGAATATCGTTCAACATAGTTTTATTTTCTAAAACAGTCCTGTTTCATCATAATTGAATATATCTTCAGGATTATATTCTTTTAATATTTGCTAGAGATTCTCTTTCATTGTTTTGAGATCTTTGAGTGACGCACTTGTAGCTTTTCCGTATATAATATACTGTTTAAGGTTATGTCATTTTTTAAAGTTGTCCACCCAACCACTAGACCTTTAAACTTATCCTCCTTTAATAAAAAAGCAAAACTCAAGGATTTTGTTAAAAGAATATTGTCAGTAATAATAAGGTTAGCTTTGAGTACGTTATCTACCTATATTACTAATGCTTCTTCAACGAGAAAGAATGGAGTTTTCTTATCACATTTCAAATTGGCTTAGTATGAATTAGTATTCACAGAAAACCAATAGTCTTTCTCCTTTAAAATGTCATTTACCATGCTTTCATTAACATCATAAGTCTTTTTGTTTTAAAAAAGGTGATGATATTTTTTTTAAACAAAGTTTTTTTTTTTGTGCAGCTGTAAGAGACTTACGTTTTTTTTTAAAGGTTCATCTTGTTTGTTAGTAGATTGATTAAGTTGTTTCTTTGAGTTTACTTTTGGCATTATTAATATTATGCAAAGAAAAAAAATGCGTAAAAAATAAAATATGTAAAAAAAATAAAATATAAGACACAATGCGTAACATGAATATTTATTCATTTTTTAATTTTATTTAAAAACTAGGTACAAAGAACTACAAAATTTTATATATATAAATCTAGTAAAATTCATTTTAATCAAAACTTCGATGTATCAAAAAAAAATTTGTTATAGAGAAAATTCGTTATAAAGAGAGTCATTTTATATATAAATTTTTTTGACTTTAATTCATTAAATTTAGTACAAATTTTTAATTACTAAATTTGGTATAGTAAGGGTTTTTTTATATTTAAAAATCTGTCTGATACTAAAAATCCGTTGTATTGTAAAATTCGTTATATTAAAATTCATTGTAGAAAAAGTTGAATGTAGTTCCTTTGGGATCTAATGATTGATAAGAAGTTGGTGAAATCACTTCTTGCCTAGCAGGTGAAATACAAGCTGGCTCAAAATTTGGAACACTTGGTATAGTATTTTTTGCTATAGTTGCTTTAGCTGAAAGGTAAGCTTTATAGCTAGTTGAATGACTATCATAATTATATGATACCAATGCCAATTTATCCTTTTCTGAATGTAGAGTAGATTCAGATAAAAGCTCTAGCTGAAGACACTTCATTTCAGCCTTTTCTTGTAATATATACTTTTTATACTACCAAATCTGAAATTTTCTTCTATCAATAGCTTGGAGAATTTCTTTTCATTTTATATCTTCGATTGGGTTAGTTTTGCTAATAATACATCTCTTCAAGTGATTATCTCAATAGAGAAATTTGTCTATAAGCCTTTCAGGGATAAATACTAGGGAGTTATACATACTACAATATATATAATTTGTTAGATTTCTGCTAGGATGGAATCCTTTATCATCTTCATAAAACTTTGCATATATGTGAATATATCTATTCTTAGAAAATATTTCTGGATTCTCTTCAAGTATTTTTTTAAATAGATCACAAATACAAAAGCATCACATTTCTGGTGTTTCATTATCATATTTATATTGTAAAAGGTGTATTGCTTTTATTATTTCATTATATCTATCATCACGATCAGGTAAACAAAGCTTATAATAAGCATTATTATCTAAATTCATCTTTATAAATGTTTAAGCGATAAAAATAGTATTTTTAGTGATTTATATTTATAGTGATTTATATCAGTTTGTAACAAGTATATTATAATAAATATAAGATTTATTTTTATTCAATTTGTTCAGGTAAAAAACAGATTCATAATTTTTAAATTAGACCTGATCACCATAGTTAGCTAAACTATGCACAGTGCCTTCGGTAATTTTATATTCATACGCATGTAGATTATTTTGCGGATCCTTCATGATTGTATGTATCATTTTATTTATTTGATAAGTGTTCATACAGCATTTACAGATACACATGAATAAAAAAGGAGAAAGGCCTGATATAGATAAAACTTTATTCATTTAATTGTTTCAACTGCAGTATGCTTTATAATACTATGCAAAACTACATATACAAGTGTTAAGGGTGTTCTGATGTCAGAACAGTGTCACATAATTGTAATGTAGTAAACAATCTATCTTTGTTACACACTCCAGTCTGGAGATATACCAAATTAGGAAATTGAATTTTAGAATAATCTATGAGTAGATTCGTAAATTTGATTGGCTCAGATATTTTTTTTTTCGTCTATAATATTTTATATATTACATGTATTAATAAAAAATATATAAATAGGCAGTATAAAATATCTAATTTTAATAATTCCAAATAATCCCTTATAGCTAACTGTTTTTGAAAAAGTAAATGAGACCTAAAGATTAAGAATTTTCCTTATATATTGTTAAGTAAGAAATAATAAAAAGAATGCAATTTTGTTAACTTTAAATTAACCCTTCTGTAGTGTTTTTTTACCAAAAACCAAAAGCGAAAGATCTTTTATGCATTTTTGCAAACTTAGTTGAAAAATATAATGAAGTCAGGTTAAAGCCTTGTGAATCTAAAGAATTACAAAAATAGTGACATACGAGCGATCAGGAAGCAGCTAAGTGACTTATACTTTATCATGATTTTTTTCTTAAACTTGCTAATTTTTATCCTTTAGAATCCTATTCAATTTATGAGAAACATTATAATCAAATCATTTTAACTAATCAGTTTTATCAACATCTAGTAGGTTCTGTTCAAAAAAGCAAAAGATTCTGACTTAATGCTAATCAAGATAATGATTATACTAACATAATAGTTAAGCTTAACAGGACTAAAAAGCTTTTAAAATCCATTCAGTTAGAAAATCAGCAGAAAATACAATTAATAATAGAATTCAACAATCAAATCGAATGGATGCATCAGTATTTAAAAGATTAAAAAGATGAAGTAAAAGAATTAAAAAAGAAACTGCAAAAAGCTTATGATGATATAAATATGATGCAAAATTTGTATGAAAAGCAATGTAAAAGCAATAAAACTCTAGTTGAGCAATGGAATTCACGATTTGATAGCCAAAACAAACATATCAGTGCAATTATAGAAATAGCAAAAGCAGAATGTGAACTATTATTTGAAGATGTAAGTTTACTGATCTGAGATAGTGATAGTTTTTTCTAAAAATCTCATAGTATATAATTTGCGTAAATGGCTCGATAGGCATAATCAGATTGCTGTTAAATTTATTGAAATTCTAATTCAGAATAATCGAGACTCTAACATTTTAAGTCAGAAAAAGCTTTTAAAACTGCTATCACGATTGATTTGATATATGTGACACAACATGAAAAATACATGTCAGAAATTCAACTTGCTGCTTTAGCTATTAAATATTCAATTGCATGATCAAAACTGGTTATTAATATCGATAATCATATTACAAGTTCAGGAAGTTATTATCAATTTCAAAAGTGGCTGAATGAATTATCAAAGCATGAAGAACTATTACCCAAAGGTCTTTTAGTCCTTGCATTTAATAATGAACAAAAAGGACAGAAGAATTATCTTGATTAAGGATCCAATACGGTCATTTATCATATTATTATCAGTTTTGTTGCTTTCAATATGGCATCACAAAATAGAATTCAATATACTAATTTACCTTGGTTGTATCAGTCTCTTTTTAGGTTACAGTACAAAGAACTCTTTGACATCGCCCTTCAAATGTAAGAAATAATTGACAAGGAATTATATACTTACCTCTTCGAAATTCTTAATTTATTATCTAAAGAAAAATTATCCTCTACTAATATTATCGATTCTCTTGTAATATCTACAACAACTAATAGTACTAATATGAAATTTTGTCTCAGCTGCGGTTAACAAAATATTGAGAATCAAAAAAAGGTATATCCAGGATGTAAAATGCCATTACCAATATTAGCTGAAATCCAAAAAGAAACTGAAGTCGAAAATATTACAATTGATCAATTAAACAACTCACTTACTTTTAAACCTTACAACATTGATGATGAACAAAGTGTCATGTGCATTTCTAAGATCAGTCTTACTCAACAAAAATTTACTGATCCAAGAGTTAATATTCTTGAGATTTACGTTTCTGATCCTATTAACGTTAATCCTAACTCAATTATAAATATTGAAAAGGTACTTTCACATATAGAAATAATATTAGGCATTAAGAATGAAACTTGCAAGTAGATCATTGTCGCCTGTGATGGTATTCTATACCATCATGCTACCAAGTTGAGAGAAATGTTTTCCTGGTTAGTTTTTATACTAGGACAATTACATGAAGAAATGAATATGCTTTGAGCATATGTAGAATTGAACTGGTAAGTGATATAGATTTAAAATCTAATATTTCTCACCTTAACATTACTAGATATTTTTTTATACATTAGAAAAGTCGATTTGAAATGGTTTGCAATATGCCAAGGTTATCAGACTGAAAATCAGCTTGTCTATTTCAAAAAATGTATAGATCATCATAAGTTCCGGGATTTGATTTGTGACATATATCATTAAGCAATAGCTATAGAGCTTTTATAGCCATATGTAAAAAGCCATTATGACCTGTCTATCGAAGGATATCTTGCATGGATTAAAGAACAGTAAGATTCACTTTATCAAATAAAATATGAACAGGTCACTATTAATTGATTTTTTTTTTTAATTATTATTTTTTAAATTAATACTAATTTGTTTTTTAATAAGACATTTGTTTATCTTCAAGCGATAATTAATTATCGAAAAGCTATAAGAACCAATAATCCTTTTTTAAAATGGGCTGCTAAAAGAACTTTTTCTCCTATTTGGTCTGCAAAGCGTCATCCCATTTATCACCTAATAGATATTCTGATAAAATTCAGTTGATACAACTTCATCTAGAAATGTGAAATATAATAGAGAAAAATTGTGTTGTTTCTCGATCAGGTATTTATGAACAGCACCAAGAGTTAGACGTAATTATGGAGGAGATGAACAAAACCTTAAAAACTTTAATACCTCCTATTCCACAACATCATCATTGAAAATTGCAGCACGTAATTGTAAAAAATTTTTTGAGATGAATTTTTTAATTTTAAATTAGACCAATTTTATATATGCGTAGATACTAATTGTTTATTTTAGCTTAGAAATAATTTATTTAAAACAATTAGGTATAATGATCACTAGCAATCAGGACCAAGAACTTGACTGGAATCAACCATAGAATGCCAAAGGTTTTGAACTCTTTTGCAAAGTCTTGAATTTGTGAATTCAGAAAATACACAGACCATTTGTCGAAGCTTAGGAGAAGAATATGAGTTGATTGAATATTTAAAAAACTTCACACATATTGCAAAACAATATTAACAAAATTTTATTGAAACATTTATTAAAAAAAACTATCTTCTTTTTTTAGGTCAATATCGATTACAAAACAAGAAGCATATGTACAAGAGAATGAAAAAAATATGAACAAGGTAGAAATTTTGTTAAAGATCGAAATTCTTCTTAAACAATTAGGTGAAAATACTCAAAGAAAATATCCTGGATTGAAATCAAAAAAATGAAGCGAATTATTAAACATATTGCAAGAGGTAAAGCATTTATTCACTTCAGATGATGTATTTAATTTAGAATAAATTTGTATTGTACTACTTCAGTATTTGTATTTTGTCTTTTTATTTACACTTTTTTTGATAAATATATATTCTAAAAAAATTGGTCCACATTAATTTTAAAATTTTATGCTGTCAAAATTTCATGCTGTAAAATTTCACGCTTATCAGAATTTTACACTTGTCAAAATTTCACGTCAAAATTTCATGATTGTCAAATTTCATATCTGTCAAAAACAGAATAATCAAACTAATTTAGCCATTTCATAAAAAACTGATTTTCTAATTGACATTTGATGATTTTTTAATTTGTTGCAATTAATTTAAAGAAAATAATTTATTGTTTTATATTTTTTATATTTAAAAATTCAATAATTTTCCAAATTGAGATAGATCTAGAATATTCCGATCGGCGAATTCTATACTATATTAGGAAATGATCATCATGACATATTTGGTAAATTCCCGGACTGCACTCAACATTATTATCAGATAAATTTAACAGGAAATGATCTAATTCGTCCTATTTTTGATTTACCGATACTACTAAAATGCTTATAGACTTTCTCGGCCCTTTCACTCAAGAATCATCAGAAGATTTTGTTTCGGGGATTTAATCCCTAACTTTTTTTTTAACGAGAGCACGAGGCTGGGTTTTAACTCCTTGCATCATGTAGGTCTGAAGACTCCTTACACTGTGTAATGCAAATTTTTTATTTATGGTTTATTACAAATATGCGAAAAACTATTATTTTTGCATAAACAACTTGTTTCAATGCTTAATAATTTAAATCGCGAATTACTAAAAATTTTACTAGTACATTACAGCTCATACAGAACCTTTCCCTCTTCCTCTCCCTCTCCCTCTACTCACTTTACTATTCTCTTTTGAAAATTTTGGTAGGAATTGTGAAAACGTAACAACTCTAGATCGTCCTGGTGTAAACCCGGTTGCATACTTTGTTCTAGTAGGCTTCGCAATACGTTGCTGTCCTTCCTTTTCAAGTTCTTTAAATTTCTCAATCTTTTCGATAATATTGTATCGTAAACACAAGAGTGTTCGGATTAGTCTAGGTACATGTCCTAGACTGGTGTTGGAAGTTGGAATGGTAAGGGCTGGAGTTGTAAATGGCGAGAAAAGGTACAAGCCGGGCCCAATAAATATTAATTGTCCGATTTCAACTTTATCGGCTACAAGCAAACGAAGAAATATATTAGGTTCGAAGCAAAGAAACACCAACAGGATCAAAAACCTTACCAAATCCCTGGGCCAGGAAAACACCCAATGTTTCACACACTTTCCATCCTGGTAATTCGGTACTCACCATAAATTTATTAAGGGCAAAAATACCCTCGTTCATCAGCTTCTTTCTATCTCCATTAATTTTATCTGGGTCGGGATTATTGGGACCTTCTGACACCTCAAGCAAAAATAACGGGATTTGCCTTGGACGCTCAAAGAACTCTAAGACACCATCAGCTTTATACCCGTTATTTTGAGCATCGACCTTGGTAGAAATGTCTCGTTCACATGAGAAATACCGTAATGAGTCGATAAAGCAAAATGTAACAAAAAACAGATACGCTATTACGTGAGCTGTCCACGTGCGTTCGGGAGTATTCTTCATAATACCATTCATTTTTGTGATTGTATCAAGGTGACTAGAGACGCTCTTAATAACAAAAATATCGGGCATTTCTGATTGATCATAACTCTCTACTGGTATAGGAAAGGTGTTAGATAGATAATGAAGTTTTTCGGATTGGCTGTCTAATTGATGAACTTTCCCCTTCATTTTTGCAAACTCTTCGCTGTCTTTTTCATCGGTTATGTCTTTATTTTCACTTTCTATATCACCATCGTCACAACTCTATTCCTCAATAATCTCATCAAACAGTGTCATATACTTATGCGCCTCCGCACTTACATATTCATCTCATCCGTCAATCTTAACCTTTCAGACAAAGAATTCAATTCATAGTCGCTCAAAAGTTCGTGAACCTGATTTAGTGTTTCCTCATCTCCCAAATCAATAATATAATAGTCCGTCTCAGGGTCCAAATAGACTTAAGTTTGTCATAATATGCTGGGAATTTGATTCTCCTGAAGGTATCAGAAACTTCAGCAACAGAGCTTAACGTATCCTCTTGAGTAACATCTTCTTTGTTTTCGTAAGTACTGATCTGTATGCACCTGAAAGGATGAAAGGATGAGATGAAGATCTTGCGGACTAATAATTGAGTTATATCCTGAGTCCTGACCTGTTTTGATGAAGTTGATGGTAATTCTTCATCGTATGATCGCTTATGTCCAAGTGACATATCCATTTCTCCTTTTGCCATCTTAGTTCGTTTTGACAAGCGTGAATTAACTCTATCAACATACTCTTCGGTTTTTTGATTAAGAGTAGCCTCAAGCACATTCAATGCGTCAATCTGCGATTGTTTATCAAAAATATCCTAGAAAGGGGGTTTCAATGAGAACGCAACCAAAATCATTGACACTTTGAGGAGTCCTAATCAACGTTCATACGCACCTCCTTTGCCATTAGATCTTTTTCAGTCTTGACACTTTTCCAAAAGTTTTCTTCTTCAGATGGACGCTTCTAATAACTCAGGGATGGTTAGCGAATATCAATCAAGAAAGTAGTGAGTTCAATACATTTCGCATGATCTTTCTGGAGGAACGACACCCCACATCTGTCGCACCGAGGAACGACACCCCATACCTCGAGGAGGACGACACCCCCTTTAGGCCGTGCAACAGCAGAGAAGATCGTGAAATACAATGCTGAGGAACGACACCCCATGCCACAAAGAGGACGACACCCCTTCTAGGTCGCACAGATTTCACTCATAACGGTTTAGAGACAAAACGCAGTAAGCAGAAATTTGACTAACCTGTTGAATCAGAAAAACTACACGCTCTTTGATACCATTATCATGCTTTTCTTCCTCCATAAGAAGTTCATTTAGAAAGGTTAGATATCGCTTCCTCCATACGGATTTTAGATCGTCCAATGAGTATTCTTCCGAGACGCAATAAGGCTTTAAAGACTTTAAAAAACTCAAATGCGACCAATCTAAGGCGGACGTACTCTCAAAGTATGATTTAATCGACAAATCTAGTTCAGTAGACATTGTTACGCTTAAAAAGTTACGCGTTTATACTCGCGAGCATAGAGAAAGTTTGTTTTTATTGGTTAATAATCAATGTGTGTAACGGTATTATGATTGGCTAAATAAATAATATGCGATAATACTACACGATTACATTTTTACATTTTTACAGTTATTTTTTTGTATTTTTGCTTCAAATTAATTTTGCTTCAAATTAATTAACTGTCCTCATTATGGTTCAAAAAAACCATGGCCCATGTTCAGTACATAATTGTAATAACCAAACATCCCGTTTTCGACAATTTACTTCGTTAGCATATGAAAAAGCTCAAAAAAAAGGAACTTACGAAGCATATACATATTTAAGAATCGGACAACAATTGTGTCATAATCATTATATGAGCATTGTTGAACCTTATCAGAAGCATAAGTCAGAAATTCCTCTTTTTTTA